CAGGAAACAACCAACTCTAGGAAGACAGACAGGGTGACCTGAAAATGGGTTTGACCTGGTGTTTTCCTGTCATTCTGTGTATGGTTTCAGCTTTCTCACAAGACTGGCACTGTATAGGACTTAGGTGTTTGCCAGCCCAGTTGAAGCTGTCTGCTTCATTGCTCACCACCAGCAGAAAGGTGGGGGCTATGCCCCGCAGTCCAGGTGACAGAGAAGGTTTACATGGGGACTCAGTCACACTTTCTGGGAACTAGATGTACATTTCATAGCCGGAGCCATGTTATACTAAAGGTGTCTTGGCCCAAGGATACCAGCACCCCATAGAGATGGAGATTCCAGGGAGCTCAGGAACTGAAGGGCTGAGTGACAGTGAGCACTGCCCACAGAGGGGGCACCCTGCAGTCAGGAGGGGTGGGAAACAGGTGCGGATCAGCAGCTGACAGAGGCCCACCCAGGTGAGCACAGGTGGAGTTGCTGGTGAGACGAAGAGTGTGCTGGTTGGGAGGGGAAGGCGGGGCCTGTAGCAGGTTTGGGAATTCCCAAGTTGAGCAAAGGGTGTGCCAAGTCCTCTGGTTGGGCTTGTTAACAAAAGCACCAAACTCTTAAATTATGTGTAAGAAGTTTCTTCTGAGCCAATGAGTGGCCGTGGCCTGGGAAAGTCTTAAGGGGTCTTGAAAAAGTTTGCCTGGGACAGTTGTTTTACATATTTGAGGGGACAGGAATTGGAGTAACATCATAAATCAGCCCATGGAAGGTGTACATTGATTCAGCCTAACAAGGTGGGATATCTTGAAGTGGGGTGGGGGGAGGTCGTTATAGGTCACAGGTGGATTCGAAGATTTTCTGATTGGCAATTGGTTGAAAGATTTCAGCTTTGTCTAAAAACATAAAGTCGGTACAAATGAATGCTTCAGTTCAGAGAGAGAGGGTTTCCTCTGTCCCATGATGCTGTCCCAGAGTCAGGGAGGTAAGTCAGCCACAGTATCCTGGGTCAATTTAAAACCCATTGCAGGAGACTCTGTGGTTTCCAGGGTGTATGTTAATTTTTCCTTTGCATGGCCTCAGGTGTTGTTCATAATCTGTACCTGATTGTCACAGAGTCCGTTCTGAATAATCTAACGATGTCTACCTTAATATTCATGCTGGTCAGTTTGGGGGCCTATACTCCAAAAGTACAGGCTCTCATGAGGTTTCTCTGACCTCCCCTTCCATCATCGCCAGGAATTCATTTTTTCAGGGTTCCCTGGGGTCCCCTTGACTAAGATGGGTTCTGTTACATTGGCTGGGGTCTCAGGATTGCAGGACTTAAGACAGCCTCACAGCATGGCGCAGGGCACTTGGCCGGATTTTCTGAACCCTGAACTCCATGGCTCATGGGATTAGGGAGCTGTGGGCCATCTGGATTCTGCTGAGATTCTTTCCCCAGGTGCAGGTGTGGGTTTGGCCTTGGCTCTTTCTGTTCCTTTCTTTCGGAAGCCCACAGAGGGGCGGACAGGACACTTTGCGGTCAGGGACAGAGGCTGACCTGTCACTGAGACTTTGTACTCCTGGGAAGAGACTATCGTTGCAGTTGGTCTGCCTCTCTGCAGTGTTGATGTGTAGCCCCAGCAATTCCAGTCCACTCTTGGCAGCCAACCTTGAACATAGAACTGATCAGCCACATAGAAAACCTGAAACAAAGCCTCTAAAATGCAGCCTCTCAAAAACGCTCACCAGAGCTTGGTGCGGTTGCTCACACCTATAATCCCAGCAGATGGATCACCTGAGGTCAGGAGTTTGAGATCAGCCTGGCCAACAAAGTGAAACCCTGTCTCTACTAAAAATATAAAAATTCGCTTGGTGTGGTGACATGCACCTGTAGTCCCAACTACTTGGGAGACTGAGGCAGAGGATGCAGTTAGCCAAGTTAGCACCACTGCACTCCAGCCTGGGAAACAGAGTGAGACTCTATCTCAAAACAAAACAACATTCACCAGAGTTTCTTAATCAGACTTGGCATAGCCAGTGAGCTACTGCTGCCTGCTGTGACGTGGGTGCTGTTTTTCCCACTAAGCCCAGCCCTGTGCCTCTGGAGACAGGGCTCAGCTGCAGCCTCCTCAGCTAACCATAAAGGGCTGTGTGGGCACCTCAGGGGCTCCTTAAACTCGCAGTGCTGTGCAGATTTGTGGGCTCTCTTTCTACATCAGATCTCCAAAGGTGTCTGCAATCCCAAAAGGTTGGAAACTATTAAATTTGATCATTTCTGAAATGTCTTCCAGTTCAAGACTCCTCAGTTCCAGTTCATTTTCAATTCCTAAATAAAGGGATGGGTCCTGGAGCCTCCCGGGAAGCCGGCCTGCAACTGAGCACTTGCTGCAGATAATGCCAGAAGTGCAAACCCAAAGATGCGTGTCTGGCCTGCATGTGGAAGCTTTCATAGTCAGGTCTTGCTTTGTGACAGTGAGAGGTGACAGGGAAGCCTATGTGAGGGGCAGGGGGAGACCAGCAGCCCAGCCTGGGGAGCTGCCTTAACCACAGCTCACCTCACTTCCTCAGAGCTAAGGGTTTCTTGAAGGGAAAATGCAGATTTATAAAAATACTAAGTAAGCTGGGTGTTTTTTTTTTAAAGGAAAAAAAAACAAATTTTCACTCCAAGGACCCTGTGTTGGGCTCGGAAGAACTGGTGGCACAACTGAGGAGTCACGGAACACTGCTGTCAGAAACAGTGTTTTATTTTTTTAGGGCAATAAAAAAATAAAAAAGACAACAAAGAGGCTTAATTCTCCCTGTTAAAAACAAGGGAAGCGGTGTCCTCTCTCCCTTTTCTTAGAGCTTTTTCTTTGGAAAACTTGTCATTGTGAATCCTTCCTCTGCTCCTCTGAGGGGCATGCAAAGCTTTTTGACAGTGAAATAAGCCTCTTCTCAGCTTTGCCACCCAGGACTGTGTTCCTGAAGGACCTGGGAGCCCAGTCTTTGAAATGCCGTCATCAGAGCAGCCAGGGCCTATTTGCCAGCCTCGGTGAGAGCCTACCATCCACTCTGAGTGGTAAATCTACCTCCTGACATAAAGATAAGAGTTTCTTTTCCTTTATAACAAGGTAATTAGCAAACGCAGGTGGTCAGGTAAATTGGGGTTGAATCTCCAATGAAATGGGTGTGACCAAAGGTGCTGGGCAGTCCCCTAAGCATGGCTTCTCTTGAGAACATGTGCAGTGTGCAATGGGCTGGACCCACTGGCTAGTTTAGTGATGAGCTTTCTGTCTTTGCAGCGCCTTAGCAGATCATTGCCTGTGATGTGCATCTCACTCTGGGTTAATGCCTCTTCAGTGATGAAATGTTTTCTTCCTCTTCTACCTCTGCAGAGACTTGCTTGGATAGATTGATTGTAATTCCATCTCTGCACCGCTAGAGGACAGACTTTGGGGTTAGGCAGCTGGAGAGGAGTTTAGAACCTATGCCTAGGCCTTCCACACTCCTCAGGTACCCAGTTTATCAGTAGCAGAACTTAAACCCAGGACTTCCTGGACTCCATACTAACTGGAAAAAGGAATTCATTCTCTTTCATTGCTGACACTGCTGGGTGAGTGCATGTAGCAGTTACACTTTCCCCATCCCACCTTGTACCTCCTTCCACTACAGGGGTCCCCAAGAGGCCTGGCCCTGCTTGCCCAGTGCACTCCTGACAAATGGAGACTGGGAGATGAGGATCCTGCCAGGGGCCAAGTGTTGGTCAAGGTGAATATGAACATGGAGGAAGATGGAGTCCTCCCCTCATGGGGTCAGGGATGTGGTGGGAGTGCTCAGGAAGCCATGGCTCCTGGCTGGGGCCATGCACCTGCCTCAGCAGCTGGAGTCTGACTTCTTGGGGTTGCATTCTGACTCCCCCTCCCACACACCGGCTCTTTCCTTCTAGAGGCCAGAGGACAATGGCAGGTTCACAGTGGCACTGCAAAGGTAGGGTTGGTGGGGGTTCCTGGGGAGCAGGGGCATCGGTCCTGCTGTGGCCCTGGCTACCCCCTTGCCCAGGCTCCATGTACACCCTCAGAATTCCCCTGGCACAACTTTTCTTCTTTCCATGAGGAACACCCTCACTTTCACCTGGGCCTCTGCCAGAAAGAAGGGTGGGACCTCTGCTGAGGTGTTCCTGTGAGTGATCACCCGCAGCAGGAGGCATCCACCAGGCCTCTGCACAGGAGCTGCCCCTGGGCCTTGTTTGTAAAATGGGGGTAATAACAGTACCTCATAAGGTTGCTGTGAGAATTAAATGGGTTCCTACAAGTGAAAAACACTTAGAACCAGGATTCAAGGCTTGCAAGGGGTGAGCTAGAGTAGCCATGGTAAGTAAGGAGAGGGAGGTGAACTGATGGATATAAAATCACCAAGGCTAAAATTTAAAAACAGTAACAATAAGCAGCTGGGTAGCTCATGCCTGTAATCCCAGCACTTTGGGAGGTACAGCAGAAGCTTCACTGGAGTCCAGGAGTTTGAGACCAGTCTGGGCAACATAGTGAGACCTCATCTCTACAAAAAAAAATCACTAAGGCAAGAACCTAGTACACTGTAGGCATTCCATAAGTGTACAATTTTTATTCCAATTATATAAAAATAAAACATATTTGAGTAGAAACAGAACTCTAGAAGGCAATAATGAATAATATTAACTGATTCTCTTTTTTTTTTGAGATGGAGTTTTGCTCTTGTTACCCAGGCTGGAGTGCAATGGTGCAATTTCGGCTCACCGCAACCTCCTGGGTTCAGCCTGAGTAGCTGGGATTAGAGGCACGCACCACCATGCCCAGCTAATTTTTTGTATTTTTAGTAGAGACGGTGTTTCACCACATTTACCAGGATGGTCTTGATCTGTTGACCTCATGATCCACCCGCCTCGGCCTCCCAAAGTGCTGGGATTACAGTGATTATCTTTTAAAATAACATGAGGTAGGACTAGAAATGTTTTTTATACCATACTCTGATTTAAACTTTTCTATAGTTAACACATATTAGTTTTATAATCAGGCAAGGAAAATCAATGTTTTCTTTAATGCTGAGAACTTCTGTTCATATTTTTGACATTTCACAAAACATCTTTTGTTGACATTCTACAAATGATACCATCCAATAATGTCCCAATACGTTCTTCTTGTGAAGAGAGTTTATATATCTGTAAAAATGAAAGACAAATTATGACTTGCTGATAGTCATTCAGTAATAATTGCCATTATATAAACATGTGTAAGTGAAATCATTCCTCATTCGATCATTGGGTTCATGGTATAACAATGAATGTGATTAAAATATTCAAAATCGATGGCAATTTATTACTTGTATTCCCTTTAAATTGCTGCTATGGAGGCAACTCTCAAGATAAAAACCAAATTTCTATCCATTGTAAAAGCACATATCTAGATATTAACTTCATACTAAATTTATTTTACATTTTAAATATACTACATTTGATATTTAAAGGAATTCACTTTCTTAATGTGGAGAATGCTTGTCAGCTGAGTTTGTAACTATATTTTACATAAGCCCGCACCTCCCAGTTCTTTGTATCTATAATTATTTTTATATAATTTTAAAAATTAACTTTCTCAAAAGTTCAAAAGAAAGGAGCCCTGGTGATCAATAGGCAAACAGCCTCAGCATTACTGCTCATCTATCACACTCCGTATAAAAACATGGACTGGCAAACCTTTTTGACTTCTGTAATATTTGTTATTTCAGGAAGATTTTCCAGAGAAACCTGATGACCTTCTACTTGAGATATCAGGTATTCTTGATTTATCTGTTTTTCTCCCTCTTCAATGTAAACAATTAGAATTGAAGTGTCATTTCCCGAGATACCAAATTTTTTCAAAGCCTCTGAAATCTAAGAGAAAAAAATGGAAAAAAAAAACCCCAACACAATTAACCATTGTTTCCTATGTCTGAAACATTTCCTCATCTGCCTTCTTCCTTGGTCAGGCTCTTATTTTTCATGTCCTAACAGTTCTCACTGCCTAGGTTTTCACTTCCAGTGATTCCTTTCCAAATCCGTTGGTACTTCCTCGCAAGCACTCCCTACTTAAAGGTACACCTTGTTCCTATGGAATCAAGCCCAGCCTTCTCGGCACTGCATGAAACCGCCACCTCCCTCTGGTGCCCAGTGACCCTCCAGCGATGCACTTCTGCCTTCGGCCAGTCTCGCCTTCCTGGGGATCCAGTCACATTTCATGCCTTTCTGCCTGTGGCCAAGCTTTGTCCTCTGCTCGCATGTCCCTTCTGCCCATGGCTTTGCTGCTGAACACGTGCTTCAAGCTCCACAGTTCTGATGCCACTCCCCACCACACCCTCCTCCCTCCGAAATAAATGGCTTCATTGCTGTACCCCTAGATTTGAATTCATTTCCCATTATATCATTTATCTTAGGGTATTTTAACTTCTGTCTTGTTTATCTGCCTCTCCTCAAGAACAAATTTGTTTCTTCTGCCCCTAGAACTGTAATGGAACAGGGAAAAGTTCAACAGATGTTTACTGAATTCAAGAGTTTCCTGAATTATGTCCAGTGATCTCAAGGAAACAATAATTAGTAAATCTTATTCCAGGTACTGGGAAACTTATTACCACACTGAGATGACTGCATTTTATCAACTTTTCAATCATCTGTATTTTAACCTATGCCACAGGTTTCCTAACTTCACTAGATGACATTAGTACCTGGCTCTTATTAATAGCTGCAGTAATACTCAAACCTCATCAGCAAAATTTCAGTCATTTTTTTTCATGTGCTACATGTGGGATGTCTTTAGTTCCATAACTTGCATTGAAAAAGCATGACTCTAAGTACTTCAAACCACAGACTCTTCCTATGCACTGGGTGTGTGAGTGAGGATGTAGGACTGCTGTAGGTACCAGCCAGTTCCTGGTATATGAAAAGGACATGGATCCCACACTTAAGGAATTAACAGGAAGAGGGAAAGATATGCGTGCCAGCACACAAAATATCCATGCCTAATGTTTTATCATTTAGATTTCTGTCAGCTTCTTAAGCAAAAATATTTGAGGGGTCTTCCTGACCCTATATACTAAGAATAACAGATAAAATTAACCTCACTTAATTTAACTCAATTTTTGTTTACTCATATGTAAACTGTCTTAGTAAGAGGCAGAGTTAAACCTCAACTCTGTCCAGAGCTCTCTTCACTATTATTCTGGTTTATTACTAACCACAAACTTACAGGAAGTTAGCCTCCAACCCAATACTGGGGAACACATACGTTATTATGACAAGGTCAACAGAAGTAGGAAAGTCCACATTACATTGTTATTTGGGGAAAGGTTGTAAATAATTTCAGTAGATAGAGTTCTTGTCTTCATTTTTCCCAGTTTGTAGAGGTGAACTGCTTTGTTTGCTGCCACAAGTATCTGAAATGGATCGACAATCTACCAAACAGAGCAAAAAGAATTAATTACACATAGAGAACCCGCAGTGTGTGAAGCACTTGGCAACTCATGGTAACTCCAGTGTCAAGCTGTTTTACCTCATCACAATTCTTACGGTCTATATTTTCAAAACTTTTATCCCAAGGGCCTGGGTAGTCACAGAATTTTAAAGCTGCAAGAAACTTACGCAAATAGTAATAATGTTTAAATAACATTAATTGAGGGCTAATGTTACGGCTGAGATCATATTCCAAACATTTTACTCGTACTATTTTCTTTAATCCTCAAAGCTACCCTATGAAATTGATATCAGCAGCAATAGTAATAGTAGTAGTAGTAGTAGTAGTAGTGTGTAATTGACGAGTAAATCAAGGCAAAGAATGTCTGGGTTTGAATACCATCTCTGTCACCAATCACCTAGGGAATTTAGGCAAGTTCCTTAGCATTTTATTTGTTAGACACAGATGAAACAGTTCACTCCCTAAGGCTGTTGTGAAGATTAAGCGAGTTAGTATATGTAAAGCACTTGGAACAATGCTAGGAATGCAGTGCACAGTATGTAACAGTTGGCTATGTCTTGTTCAAAGTCCTAAGTAGGAGGTCTGGGATTAAGTCCTGGTAACATGATCCCACTTTGTGTGGTTTTTTTTGTTTGTTTTTGAGACAGTGTCTTGCTCTGTTGCCCAGGCTGGAGTGCAGTAGCTCAATCTCGGCTCACTGCAACCTCCATCTTCCAGGTTCAAGCAATTCTCGTGCCTCTGCCTCTCGAGTAGCTGGGACTACCATCACACACCACCACCATGCCCACCTAATTTTTGTATATTTAGGAGAGACAGGGTTTCACTATGTTGGCCAGACTAGTCTCAAACACCTGGCCTCAAGCAATCCACCCACCTTGGCCTCTGTGTGTGCTTTTAACTGCTACACTATGCCTCCTCTGCAGACTCTTGTGAAGAATCCTCATTTTACCAATGAGAAGCTGGAGATCCAGGCATTTCCCATGTGAGAGCCAGACCACAACCTTTCCTATTTCCTAGGGCAGCACCTGGCACTTCTGCCTCAATTCACCATTATAGTCAAGGTTGGCTGCATCTGACTTAGACAAGAATTTTTTCCCTAAAGCTGACAGGATTTTAGGCTCCCCTATAAGATCATAAAAATTAATGTATAATTAAATGTTCTGTATTGCTCATTCATTCTTTTTTTTTTCTTTGAGACAGAGTTTAGCTCTTGTCACCCAGACTGGAGTGCAATGGTGCGATCTCAACTCACTGGAACCTCCACCCCCTGGGTTCAAGCAATTCTCCTGCCTCAGACTCCCAAAGTAGCTGAGATTACAGGCAACCACCACCACACCCAGCTAATTTTTTTTGTATATTTAGTGGAGACAGGATTTACCATGTTGGCCAGGCTGGTCTTGAACTCCTGACCTCAGAAGATCCACCCGCCTCAGCCTCCCAACGTGCTGGGATTACAGGTGAGATCCACCGCACCTAGCTGGCTCATTCATTGTTAAAATTTATATTTACCACTGTAGGATTTATCAGTGATCCATCGATGGTCCCTTCCATGGCCTTTCTTCTCAAATCTCCTGCATTTTTGACATCTTTAAATAACAGAAGGGTCACTCTGCATTCAGGAAATAGGTCCAGCTGATGTGTTAACTGCATTTCACAGATAAGCAGGATTCTACTGCCCACAAAATGAAAAGACCAAGACATTTCTTTTGTTTAAAAGTTAACATTAGAACTCATTTCCGAACAAATATTCAATAACTTTGACAGTAACATGATTAAAAGTGTTAAATTAGAAAAATCCATCGCCAAAGCCCATTTGGCAACCTCATGAGATGTTGTATTCCTAACCCTGCTGAGCTGTTTCTAGTTCCACAGCCATTCCTGGGGAAAAGCCAAGGGACCTAGCTGGTTGCTGTTTATTTAGATAAAGCAGGCTCAGATGCATGCTTGAAGAGCTGCTTCCCCAGCAGACAAGTAGGAGCAGAATGTTAGGATTTTTTTTTCTCTCTCTTTTTTTTTTTTTTTTTTATTGTACTTTAGGTTCTGGGGTACATGTGCAGATCATGCAGAATTGTTGCATAGGCACATACATGGCAAGGTGGTTTGCTGCCTTCATTCCCCCATCATCTACATCTGGTATTTCTCCCCATGTTATATCCCTCCCCACCCCCTGTTGTTCCTCCCCTAGCCCCCCAAACTGACTGCAGTGTGTCATGCTTTAACAACCATTAAAACATGTGGTCTTGATCGAGTGTAAAAATGGCAATAAATAACATTAAGTATAAACATCTGAATGAAAAACAACACAAACTGTGGCCAAATCATGGGCTTTTTAGAAAGCTTTTAAACAAATATTAAAAAGAAGACACACCAAAAACTTAATGTTATCTCTCACTTAGAATTAATTTGACTTTTGTTTCAAACAGGAAAAAAAAAAACTGTGAACAATATCCTGGCACACAGTTGAATCATTAGTCATGCTAAGGGGGAAAAAATGATTACAGAAAGATATAATCAGTAGGATCCCAATTAGATAAAAAGATGTAAACATTTTTTTAAAAACACATGAAGGAAACACACTAAAATATGACCATCTTGGGTAGTGAGATTATGAGGTAATTTTTATTGTCCTTTATACAAAGGATTTTATTATGTATGCTCTGAATTTTCTACAGTGAGCATACAAAACATGAGAACATATAATCAGAAAGGGAAAAAAATGTGGTTTTAACACTGAGTGGGGAAGAACCTTTAGAAAACCTCAAAATAGTTTGTTCTTGTTTAGTGTAATTCACTTACTCAGGCCAGAAACTTGGAATCATCGTTGGGTACCCAACCTGTCACTCAAATCCTATAAATTCATAAATGTATAGGATTTATCAAATCCGTAAAGTCCTGAATTTTCACCTCCTGAATATACTTTTGGTTCGTCCACTTCTCTCCCATGTGTAGGCTAGGTCGCCACCGCTCATCTACAGCGGTAGCCTCCTAAGTGGTTTCTCACAATTCCTGCCCTCCTATAATCCAGTCTTCCCCCGCAGTTACAGTGAGCCTTTCAAAATGTACATCAGATGCAGTCGTTCTGCTGCTCTTATGATAAAGCGCCTACTTTGTGTCACGGTGATCCATACCGTAATATTTGGTCCTGCCTCCCTCTTCTGCTACGGCCGCAATGGCCTTCTCTAAGCTCAAGTCACCAAGTTTTCTCCCCGTTTCTGCCCTATCGGACAGGTAGTTCCCTCTCTCCTTTCGGCTCCGCTTGACCACTCCTCCCTCCCTTCAACTCCATTTGGAGTCCATTTGCTACAGCGCCCAGAACCCCAGGACTAGGGCTCTTTTTCGTCTGAGGATTAGCTCCCTTTTGGTCTCAATCACAAAGTGAAAGACTCGTGCGCCTATGCGCTGTATGTCTCCTCACTGAACGATATTTCTTGAGGGGACAGACTGACTCTATCATTCTCGTGCTCCATTCACGGAGGCTGGCCTCGTTGGCCCTTGATAAACACCAGCTGAAGAAACCGTAATCATTGTCCCAAGGACACTATTAAAGCTGCCCGGACCCTCCCCATCCCGAGCCGGCCGTTAGTGCACCAGGAAAACTCACCATCCGGTCCCCAGTGCGTCTCGGAAGATCGCCCGCTCTGAAACAAAACTCACAACTTCCGGAAGCGATGGCTAATCTCCGTCTCCCCCTCTTCTTCGAGCCGGTTTCCGGATAGGCCGGCTCGGGGTTGCCATGTTTTTCCGGGTCCAGGTAGGAGGGGTGCTTCCGCTCCTCGTCCCACCGATTCTCCCGCCTCTCCAGCCTGTGTCACCTCTACGGACGCGAAGGAGAACAGGAGCTGAATGTCACTTCCGACGAAGGAGATTAAAGACTCTATGGGCTGGGACCGGAAGCTGAGATCGGGTTTCGAGTCTCTGCTGTTTTAACCTGTGTTGGGCGATGCACCGGGCGTCCTCGGTTTCTTCCTGTACAAGGAAAAGTACTGACCAAGATGAGTTTTACATGCATTTTGCTGCTCCAGATTTCTTAGTTCTTTTTCAGGGCCTTGTTTCCTATGACACTGCACTTTTGAGTTTAATGCTGGAACAAGTTAAAACTTTGGGAGATGATTGGGAAGACATGATTATGTTTTGCAATGTGAGAAGGACATGAGATTTGGGGGTGCACGAGTGGATGATTCAGTTTGAATATATGTCCCTACCAAATCTCATGTAGAATTGTGGTCCCCATTGTTGGAGGTGGGACCTGCTGGAAGGTGTTTGAATCATGTAGGTGGATTTCTCATGGCCTGGTGTCCTTGCAATAGTGAGTTCTAGGGCGATCTGGTTCTTTAGAGGTGTGTGGCACCCCGCAACACACACTGTCTCTTGCTCCAGTTCTCACCATATGATGTGCCTGCTCTCCCTTCTCCTTCTACCAATAGAAAAAGCTCCCTGAGGCCTCCCCAGAAACCAAACAGATGCTGATACTATGCTTCCTGTACAGCCTGCAGAACCATGAGCCAATTTAACCTCTTTTCTATATAAATTACCCAGTCTCAAGTATTTCTTTTTTCTTTCTTTTTTTTTTTTTTTGTAGAGACGGAGTTTCACCATGTTGACCAGGATGGTCTCTATCTCTTGACCTCGTGATCCACCTGCCTCAGCCTCCCAAAGTGCTGGGATTACAGGCTTGAGCCACCGTGCCCGGTCTCAAGTATTTCTTAATAGCAATGCAAGGACAGACTAATTGGGGGAGTGAGAGAGGAGATGGGGAGGCATGACACACTGGGCTAAAACATGAGGGACATTCAGCCAGGTGCAGTGGCTCTTGCCTGAATCCCAGCACTTTGGGAGGCCAAGGTGGGCAGCTCACCTGACATCAGGAGTTCAAGACCAGCCCGGCCAACATGAAGAAACTGCCCCCCCTGCCCCCCTGGTCTCTACTAAAAATACAGAATTAGCCGGGGGTGATGGCACCTTCCTGTAATCCCAGTTACTCAGGAGGCTGAGACAGGAGAATCACTTGAACCTGGGAGGCAGAGGTTTCATTCAGCCGAGATTGCACCATTGCACCCTAGCCTGGGCAACAAGAGTGAAACTGCATCTCAAAACAAGCAAAAACATGAAGGACATTCTATTTCTAGGAGAGAGGAGAGGCTGTTCTGGTCAATCTCTCTTTATCACGGAATGCTACATTTTCAGCACATTCCACAGTTATCCTAGAGAACCACAAGTGAGAAAGGAGAAAGAACTAAGTTGGTACAAGGCCACCTGGAGAACTGTCCTGCAGACTGTGCCCTTAATTCAGATTATCCCCCTCTAGCAAAGCTAGTCCATTTCATATGCCCACCAACCTCTTAGTATTTGGAGGCAGAGGTTTGTCTTATCAGATCGAGGTAACACTGTGACAGATGCAATGTCAGTGAAACATTGTTAAGCCATAGCCAGAATGCTAAGGGTCCTTAAAGGGGCCCCAATATCGACAGCAATATCTACCCCAATATATACTGAGAGTGGGCCTCCTCCCAGATCTCCCTCTACTTTTCTAGAATACATGAGGTGTTCTCTAGGTACAGCAGCAGCTATTGGCAATCGAACACACTTGTCCCAGTTTGGTAAATGGAAGTCTAGAGTAATTCCTTTGTTTAATAGAATCCTCTTGGCCAGGTGTGGTGGCTCATGCTTGTAATCCCAGTGCTTTGGGAAGCTGAAATAGGGGGATTGCTTGAGGCCAGGAGTTCAAGACCAGCTTGGGCAAAATAGTGAGAGCCCCCCCCCACCATCTCTCCTAAATATTAAGAAAAATAGCCAAGTGTGGTGGTGTGCATCTATAGTGAGAGCTACTGATGTTGGAGGATCACTTTAGCCCAGGAATTTGAGATTACAGCAAGCTATGATCATGCCACTGCAGTCTGGGCAACAGCATAAAACCTGTCACAAAAAAAATTCTCAAGGGAGTTGCGGGATGTCTGCTGGGCTGCCGAGGAAGTGGCAATAAAGGAAGCAGTATCTGCAATGCTCAGGAACAGATTTCTTTCTTTTTTTTTTTTTTAATTTTTTTTAAATTTTTTATTTTTTTTAATTTTTTATTAGATTATAGGTTTTGGGGTACATGAGCAGAGCACGCAAGACAGTTGCGTAGGTACACACATGGCAGTGTGCTTTGCTTTTCTTCTCCCCTTCACCCACATTTGGCATTTCTCCCCAGGCTATCCCTCCCCACCTCCCCCTCCCACTGGCCCTCCCCTTTTCCCCCCAATAGACCCCAGTGTTTAGTACTCCCCTTTCTGTGTCCATGTGTTCTCATTTTTCATCACCCACCTATGAGTGAGAATATGCGGTGTTTCATTTTCTGTTCTTGTGTCAGTTTGCTGAGGATGATGTTCTCCAGATTCATCCATGTCCCTACAAACGACACGAACTCATCATTTCTGATTGCTGCATAATATTCCATGGTGTATATGTGCCACATTTTTCCAATCCAGTCTATTATCAATGGGCATTTGGGTTGATTCCAGGTCTTTGCTATTGTAAACAGTGCTGCAATGAACATTCGTGTACATGTGTCCTTATAGTAGAACGATTTATAGTCTTTTGGATATATACCCAGTAATGGGATTGCTGGGTCAAATGGAATTTCTATTTCTAAGGCCTTGAGGAATCGCCACACCGTCTTCCACAATGGTTGAACTAATTTACACTCCCACCAACAGTGTAAAAGTGTTCCTTTTTCTCCACATCCTCTCCAGCATCTGTTGTCTCCAGATTTTTTAATGATCGCCATTCTAACTGGCGTGAGATGGTATCTCAATGTGGTTTTGATTTGCATCTCTCTGATGACCAGTGACGATGAGCATTTTTTCATATGATTGTTGGCCTCATATATGTCTTCTTTCGTAAAGTATCTGTTCATATCCTTTGCCCACTTTTGAATGGGCTTGTTTGTTTTTTTCCTGTAAATCTGCTTGAGTTCTTTGTAAATTCTGGATATCAGCCCTTTGTCAGATGGGTAGACTGCGAAAATTTTTTCCCATTCTGTTGGTTGCCGATCCACTCTAGTGACTGTTTCTTTTGCCGTGCAGAAGCTGTGGAGTTTGATTAGGTCCCATTTGTCTATTTTGGCTTTTGTTGCCAATGCTTTTGGTGTTTTGTTCATGAAGTCCTTGCCTACTCCTATGTCCTGGATAGTTTTGCCTAGATTTCCTTCTAGGGTTTTTATGGTGCCAGGTCTTATGTTTAAGTCTTTAATCCATCTGGAGTTAATTTTAGTGTAAGGTGTCAGGAAGGGGTCCAGTTTCTGCTTTCTGCACATGGCTAGCCAGTTTTCCCAACACCATTTGTTAAACATGGAATCCTTTCCCCATTGCTTGTTTTTGTCAGGTTTATCAAAGATTGTATAGTTGTATGTATGTTGTGTTGCCTCCGGTGCCTCTGTTTTGTTCCATTGGTCTATATCTCTGTTTTGGTACCAGTACCATGCTGTTTTGATTACTGTAGCCTTGTAGTATAGTTTGAAATCCGGTAGTGTGATGCCCCCCGCTGTGTTCTTTTTGCTTAGAATTGACTTGGCTATGCGGGCTCTCTTTTGGTTCCATATGAAGTTCATGGTGGTTTTTTCCAGTTCTGTGAAGAAAGTCAATGGTAGCTTGATGGGGATAGCGTTGATTCTGTAAATTACTTTGGGCAGTATAGCCATTTTCACGATATTAATTCTTCCTAACCATGAACATGGAATGTTTCTCCATCTGTTTGTGTCCTCTCTGATTTCGTTGAGCAGTGGTTTGTCGTTCTCCTTGAAGAGGTCCCTTACGTTCCTTGTGAGTTGTATTCCAAGGTATTTTATTCTTTTTGTAGCAATTGCGAATGGCAGTTCGCTCTTGATTTGGCTTTCTTTAAGTCTGTTATTGGTGTAGACGAATGCTTGTGATTTTTGCACATTGATTTTATATCCTGAGACTTTGCTGAAGTTGCTTATCAGTTTCAGGAGTTTTTGGGCTGAGGCAATGGGGTCTTCTAGGTATACTATCATGTCGTCTGCAAATAGAGACAATTTGGCTTCCACCTTTCCTATTTGAATACCCTTTATTTCTTTTTCTTGCCTGATTGCTCTGGCTAGAACTTCCAGGACTATATTGAATAGGAGTGGTGAGAGAGGGCATCCTTGTCTAGTGCCAGATTTCAAAGGGAATGCTTCCAGTTTTTGCCCATTCAGTATGATATTGGCTGTTGGTTTGTCATAAATAGCTTTTATTACTTTGAGATACGTTCCATCGATACCGAGTTTATTGAGGGTTTTTAGCATAAAGGGCTGTTGAATTTTGTCAAATGCCTTCTCTGCGTCAATTGAGATAATCATGTGGTTTTTGTTTTTGGTTCTGTTTATGTGGTGAATTACGTTGATAGACTTGTGTATGTTGAACCAGCCTTGCATCCCCGGGATGAATCCTACTTGATCATGATGAATAAGTTTTTTGATTTGCTGTTGCAATCAGCTTGCCAATATTTTATTGAAGATTTTTGCATCTATGTTCATCATGGATATTGGCCTGAAGTTTTCTTTTCTCGTTGGGTCTCTGCCGGGTTT